CGCTTCACTGGGCTAAACATAAAAGTAGCATACAGGAAACTAGTTATTTTCGGGTTAGTAGGAAACATAACAGTTAGACCCCATGGGTATATATTGTGTTGCTTGTATTGGTATTATTATTGTTGTTGTTGTTAGTTGTGAAGTTGTGTCTGACCCATCACGACTCCATGGACAATGACTCTCTTGGTTATTTCCTGATGTACTGTATTCTTGGTGTTATGCCCTAGGAAGGCAGGCAGGTTTTGCTTCTTGGAGTTGAGAAGATATAGACCGGGCTCGCACAATCAAGGAAGCAAATACACAAAGTGCAGCTTGAAGGGCCTTGTACCATGTTCAGTTCCTTTGGCAACTATGGCCTCTCCTGGACAGGGACAGCTTGACCCCACAGGTGTTGGCAGCCTCTGACGTGCTCAATAGCTATGCCCTTAAGGCTGCTCCAGGAGGTGGAGCTAGTGCAAAATGCAGCCTCTTGGCTCTCGTCAGTGGCTGCCCTTTTTCAGCATGCAATTCTTCGGCTGAGGGAACTGCATGCGCCAAGTTATTTGTTCGTTTCATGGCTCTCTCATTACTTGTGTACAAAGCTCCAAACAACCTGTGGCTAGGAAATCTGAGGTTACCTTCTCCTTTACCAACCTGCCCAGTCACTGAGGTCACTGGAAGATAGACTGCTTGTGTCCCACACAAATCTATGGCCCAGCTGGATTTGACCATGAGAAGAGACTTCGGTGTAGAGGGGCCATTTCTATGACATTTCCTGTCTTGAAATGTCAGACAGGAACAACACTGTGTGGATCTGGGTGCCTGCTGAAGGCATCTCTGTTCCAGGAAATCTTTCTTGCTGACCAGTCACAGTTTTAATGTTAGCTATTTTAATATCTGTTTTTAGCTCTTGCTGTTCACTCTGGAATCCATCTAGATATAAAGCGACATACAAATATGGTAAATAAAAAAAGAAGCCATGGTGACTCCCTGAAACCCATCCCATGCATTCTAATTGCACATTGCCTCATCTCCATAGTTTTTGCCTCTTGGGTATGGGTTGCCATGTCCTGCAAACCTAGCAAGGTGGGCTGCAGAGGTGGCTGCCAAACCACCATGAAACCCATGGCTTAGGAAGCCACCTCGACTGCCCACTGGGCTCAGAAGTCATAACAACACATAGCTGGTGATGGCAATTATGGAAATAGGGTACAGCAGAGCAAAAGAAGCCACAGGGGCTTCACTTTTCCTTTCCTGACCATGTGACCTCAGCCATGGGAATGGATCCTGAGAACCACAAGCAGAACGAAGAAAGTTTGGCAGAAGAAATTTACTGTTTCAACCAATACCTGAACTGCAGTTCAGCTGATCCTTTGAAATTTGCACTTCTCCAAATTTTGCAAGTTTCCAGCCAAAAGATTACCTGCACAAATGCATATGTTAGGGCTGTGTACATAAAATGTGCAAATGTTAACACAAATTAGGAAAATTGGTTGCAAAAATATGTGTGTCAGGCAATGTATTAGGAGAAATGTGCACAAAAGTGTTAGTTTAGTCTTTTAAGGGCTAACCCCCCCTCCCCCCAATCACAAAGTTTGTGATGTACCAGATTTAAAACTGGAAGAATGGGAAACTGGGAGAAGCTAAAATTGGCACATTTGTTCGCCTCTGTCAACAAACAGAAGGGAGTGGCTGGGAGGTGCCACAGGCGCCCATCACAGCACTCAGCATCTGCCATTCAAGGAGAGCACCTCACTCCGCCTAAGGACACAGAACCAGCCTTGCAGATTGGGAGTCAGATCATTGTTTCTCAATTTCTCATTTTTGCTTGTGTAGTAAGTTTAAATTTATTTAACTGCAAAAAGTAAAGAAAATCTTCTGTAAAGCTCCATATAACCTGCCTCCCCCACCTGTAGTTCCTCTAAGTTCTCAGCAGAACCTCTTCCCAGATCTTTGGGGAAAATTTTAAATGAAAGATTGAGCTTCCTATTATACCAAGTTACATCTCAAGATACAATTTTTTATATTCTTGACCCCACAATCAGCCCATGAAGTACATTAAAGGTTTATTTATTTATATAATCATTCACATGCTGCCTTTTAGGACTAAGTCTTTGCAAGAGGACAAGGAGATCCACTCAGTAAGCCACACACACACACAGAGCTTTAAAATTCAAGGCAATAGAACAATTAAATATAGATTAATTAAAATGCTCTCCACAGTAGGCAAAGGGGGTAAAATGTAATTTAAATTCTGGAAAAATCAAGATGCCAAAAATGTGTTCGTACAGTCTTGTCCAAAATACTCAGAGTTGAGGCCATGCTTACTTCAGCAGGCAGATTCCACAGGCTAAGTGGAGATTTCGCAGTGTCTGCAGTGCGAGGTTATTGGCCTATTTAATCTGTAAGAGCCATGCTGGATCAGACCAAGGCTCATCTTGTGCAACATTCTTTTTAGTTGCCATCCAGCTGCCCAGGGGAAACCAACATGTAGGTCATGAGTATAATAGCATCTTCCTCTTCGTATTTCCCAGCAAATAGTATGTACAGAGAAACTGCCTCTGATACTGGAGGTATTTTATAACTATCACAACCAACATGTAGCCAGTGCCAGCCTTAGGCATCATAAATGTATCTAATGCCCCTTTAATCCCATCCAAGTTGGAGGCCATTACTACAGCTTGTGGTAGTGAATTGCAGTTTATGCACTGTGAAAAAGTACTTCCTTTTATCAGCTCATAATCTCCCATAATGGGATGAGCCAATTGGGTTCTAGTACTTATGAAATAAAAATCTTTCCCATTCCACTTTGTCAATTCCTTGTAGAATTTTGTATGCCCTTTAGTGCATTTCCCCTTATATGCCCATTTTTATATTAAGCAGTTCTAGATGTTGCAGCTTTTCTTCTGTGTTGCTCCATTCTATAGTTGTCTTTTCTGCACTTTTCCCAACTTTACAATGTCCTTTTAGATCCACTGACCAAAATTGTACATAGAATCCCATGTGTGGTTGCAACACAGGTAAGGGCAGTATGATCTTGGCAGTCTTCTCCTCAATTTTTTTCTTGATTCTGCCCCAAATGGAATTTGCCTTTTTTTAAATAGCAGTCACACACTGGGTTGACATTGTCACTGAACTGCAAGTAGATGAAATACAATGTTATCTGCTGACAGTGGCTTTCAATTTCTCTGGAAAGGTTTTTCTGGATGTACTCTGTTTTACCCAGTGCTTCCAGGGCCTGGTAACGGAACCTTGCACATACAGTGTGTGCGCTCCAGCACTGGTATTGTGTGTGTGTGTGTGTGTGTTGGTACTTTTAAAGTTGGTACTGGTACTTTTAATGTTCATATTCTGTAAGTTTAACACAGCCTTATGCTTACTCAAATAAGTTTGCAGTCATTGGGACTTATTTCTAGTAGTGTCCAATGATGAAAATTTTAATTCAACACATTTGGACAATGCTGGGTTGGAGAAGGTTAGTATATAGGGCTGCCACCTAAACTTCATGGGTTAAATGTGGCTTCTGTTGATGGATTGGATCTAACTCAGAGAAGGTACTTCTGTTCCAGTTTGGGAATCCATCCTCACCCTCAGCACCAGCTCCCAGCCATTTAGCAGGTTCCCTATTCCCCAGTGTAGCATTTTTGGGGGGCTGGAACTGTTCCTCAGAATGCTCCTAAGGAGAGGAATGTTCCTAAGATCTGGATCTGACCCTCCAATTCCATGTTAGTATTATATTGCTACATTAATTTTTATTCCACCTATTCTCAATATTGCCACTTAAGGCAGCCTACAACATTAAAAGATGTACAATTAAAACATTAATAAAAATATACAATAGTTAAAATTATATTTAAAACACCTATATTATTAAAATTAAAATGGCAATAAAAATATAAACAGAACTAGTATAATGCAATTCCACAGGTCCAGACTGAGATAAAGTGTATAAATATCTCTCCTTCAGTGCAAATTTGGGAGTCTGCAAGCATGGATTTAAAGTGCAGAAAGTTTCTGAAGGTTTTTAGAAGCTGCTTCCATTTTGACTTCATCTCATTTCAGTACTGCCAAGGTATTATATTTCTTTAAAAGAATGGATTGAACAAGATGCATTATACAGAGAAAATTTTCATAAGGGCACGAGCCACCAAATTTTATTTCTCTAGGAAGGGGGCTAATATTCAAGCAAAAATGTGCAGTATGGTATGCGTGGGGGGGGGGTGAAGGACGTATATTTTAAAAAGTCTTCCTACTGCTTCTTTTAGGTGAGATATAATTGTACCTTGCCATAGGTGTTCACTGCTATCCTAAGCCTGCATTCAACTTTGCAGAAAGGCAACATAAAACACATTTTCAACGATTAACAAGGGAATTTAACTCCATTCAGAACAGACTACAACCCTCCATTGGGGGTTAGAGTCAGGCACTAGAGGGTTCAGTGTACGAGGAACTCATATGCATTTCTATACACATCTGTACATATGCTTGTATGTACATACATCTCTCTCTCACACACACACACACATTTCATGGGGCAATATAAAAATGTAATAAATAAAATGGTGATCCAGGGTAAGAAACGGGTGTGCATGTGTGTTGGTAAGGGGTGAAAGTGGGAAGGGGCTGTTGGATAGTATTGGGGGGGGGGGCAAAAAAAATCAACAGCTTAAGCAAGCAAGAATAACCATAGAATATTTAGAGCAATGTCCTTTATTCTAATAAATAAGGCTGATTAGACCCTTCACTTGGCTTTAAGATGTGTGAGTCGAAGTAAGAAGTTACTAAGTAATCCAATTATAAAAAAATTACATTGCACTATGCCATATGTACACATCTAGGAAAGGTGCTCAAAATCAATAGTTAACATGAGTGTTCTAGACTATGATAAGCAACTTTGGTTTGATATGGTTCTCTTTGAATAGAAAAAGTTACTTGTCAAAAATGGCAAGAATTGTAACATCTATACAGGTTGGGTGCACATTTTTTGTATCAACTGAGAAAAGCACAAGCAAAATCATATGCAGATTTATGAAAAATAATTTTATTACGTAATACCTTGTTTTTAACAATGTTGATTTCTTTTAAATTCAGAATACCTGTGTCATTCATGTAAAATAGTTTGATACAGTACATTGTATGGTATAGTTTTTCCTCAAATTCTAAGGTTTTCCTAACACCTTGATCCTTTGCTTTAATAAGGGTGCCCCTAACAAACGTGCGAACATATTTAAAAATAATGAACAAAATTTAAAATCCACTACATCAAGCCAGCTCTCAAAAATCATGACAAAAATATCTGAACAAGTGCCGCACTGTTTGTTTGCTTTTTGCAGGGAACGTCACTCATGCTTTTGTAATTCCAAAGCATGCTCACAAATCAGTTAACACCAACAGGAAAAATAAAACACTGCCTATGACAATCATTTTAGTTTGTTTGCTGAACCAAACAGCTTTATCTCAAGAACACACTCAATTTACTATCGAATAGCAGCTTTAATACCAGTCAAGTCATAGATTTGAGAACAAAATAAACATGTTAAAAATTAATCTTTGGGAGTCTTGTAAATCTGCTGGAAAAATGCTTATGTTTCTTTTATGTCTTAAAAAAATCTCTTTGCAGCAAGTTTGTTGGTCATAAAACATTGATCAATGTGGAAAATGAATCAACCCACAAAAAAGTCACTAAAAATCAATGTATATCAAAATTCTCTCAATTGGAGCCACGGTTAGTTTTTCATCTCATTAACATATACTGTATGCTTCAAATACCAGTTAAGAGATTTTGCGTACTATTGGTCAGATAACGTTGTTAACATCAAGAGAAATCACAACAACAAAAATGCTTGCCCCTAGCACATTTCACAGCTTCAACTGCTACAGACTGTCACTGAAAACAATGCATTGGTCAGTCTGAACCATGTCAAGTAAACTATGGAAGTAGCATATCCACAACACAAACTGTGCTAGTACTTTCTTTTCAAGTCTAATTCCATAAACGGGTACAATCTGAGGGAGCCACTACTCCCAGCCTGTGAAAAGTAGTGGAACTTGGCTATCACACATTTTGAAAATGCAACAGTTACAGTACATTCTTGCGGCCCACAGCCAGGTTCCAGGCAGACAGCAGCACGGCCAGTCCTGCAGCCTTAGCAACAGTGCATTGACTTTATTCAGGTGCAGCTCAGTACCGATGCGTCTGGTGAGAGTACTGTGGAGGCTGCTGGGAGGTAGTTGAATATCCCATGCTGCTCTGCGGCTGTGATGTGCTTGGTCCAGGGTTTGGATAGGCAGCATGGGGATTGGAACGCTGGATGAGGCAGTGGAAAGAGCAGAGAGAGGGAATGGATTATGACAGTGCTTGGGACTGTATGACGCAGCACATATTTTTGGAAACCTGCAGTGCATTTGTCAACAGGTGCCCCCTGGACAGTATTCAGTGGTTTGATTGCACAAGTTCAAACAATGCTAGCAGTGCTCCACAGGACTTTTCTGCTGTGCACACAGTTGCACTGTATAGAGGTTGTGTAATTGCTTGTACAATCATAATTTTAGTTGGAGTCTCCTTTTGTGCATACCGTGGAACCTAGTTTCTGCCAACAATGTCATTTCTGCTAACAGAGTGAGACAGCTGGATACTGCCCCAATTTGAAGCATTGTATTCTCATTACTATGAAGAACAGATGCCATAATAGCTAGATCCAGAAATGTACACGTAGTATGTTCTATGGGTTCATAGCATCATTTTATGCCCATGTTTCTCGAAGCCCTTGCTACTGCTAACAAATGACCGATAAGGTATTAAAAAAAACAGTTAAAGGCAGGACCCTGAGTTAAAACCTGCTTCTTGCTCTGAAGCATTGCCTAGGCTAATAGAGTATGCACTACTCAAAAGCAAAAGGAGTATTTACCCACTGTGATTGCAGTGTAGGGAGAAAATTCTATTAGAACATAAAAACCTTGAGAGCTGCCTAAAGTATTTAAGGGAGCAATCATTTAGCTCTTTGACAGGGCCTGAGGGCCATAGGATAGTGAGAAGGGCAGGAGTGTGGAACCAAGTAATCCTGAAGCCTCTCTTGCATCCTTCCCTCAAAAGGCCCCAGCAAGATGAGCATCTATGAAAATGCAGGGTGGAAGGGTTGAGGCACAAAAATTATCTCCATTACGCCTCTGAGTCTGCAAACTATAGGATGCTCCTAAGCCTTACAATTACAAGTTTGGAGGGTTGCAATCATCGTGATGCAATTGCATGAAAAGGCCATTTGCTTTTAAGTCATCCTTTTCCAATTATCCTCTACACTAAGAGTAGAAATGGACCTGGCTCTCATGACTTAGGAAGCCCACCTGTTCTTTTCATATTTACAAGAACTCTTTCCCCCAGTGAACAGACTTTTCTGAATGGTCTATGTTAAAAGTTTTAATGCAAATTTAAAAGAATTAGTATTGTTTGCTGATGAATTAAGGTTCACAAAATGTTTTAAAGGAGGATGAAACTGTCTGGCAAAACATTGTTATTAAACAGCAAAGAACCATTCAACTACGGCAAGCAGTAATTGCTTCCAGGTAAGAGCAATGCTGTCCACCCCGCTTTTGGCCAGTCTTGAATGTGCTGGGTTAAACAACAGAACCAGAAAGTACCTGTTGCAAGTGACCCATTATTTCTCATCAAGTTGTTAAGAAAAGAGCCTGCCTTTTTCTTGTGATGTGCAGCTTAACTGGAAACCTGGACTATTGCTTCTGAAGAGACAATTATTAGGTTATTGCTCTTCTGTTTACAAGGCTCTCACCTCCACACAGATCCATACTATTTCCCAGAGCAACCCTTTGGAGATGATTTCTGGTATCAGAGCAATGGACTACAAAAGGAAATGAGGGTTGGAAAAGATCCACTCTGTGAAGAAAACTGCCATTTCTACAGAAGGGAAGTAATGATTTAAGCAGTTATGGGGATCAACCATTAGCCAGTACTTTTATTTTTCTGTGAAAAATGTTCTCTTTCATAATTCAATAATAAAATTGAACAAACCAATTGCAAATATATTTTAAAGCAAGCTTGGGACTTTTACAGTTGTAATCAATGTTTTTGGCTGATTATCTTTACAAGTACGTGACAAAATGCATGTATTTTTCTGAAATGCATGTATGTCACAGTGACCTAGTTCACAAGATACAACAGCCTATTGTGACTTAATTTACTCATGGGGGCTCTCATATCATGCTGACAGTGCCCATCAGCATCTTCATTTGTGTATTGAGAAAAAATGTTTTACCATTTATTAGATACAAATAAAATAAACATGCTAAATTAGAACTCTCAACAGCAGGGGTGGGCAACATATAACTTCCAGATGTTTTGGCCTATGGTTCCCAACAGTTCTAGCCAGCATAGCCAATAGGAGAATGGTAGTTCTAGGCCAAAGTATCTGGAAGTGAAAATTCACTCACCCCCATGCATCAGAATATTTTCTAATGCAAAGTAAAATTTTCTTATGCAAGTAATTTAAATGCTCTGGAAAATGTTCAGGAAAAATTTCCAATTCAAACCTTTCTAGAAAGCCAACATTACTAGGTCCAAGCTTTTTTATTATTATTTTATTGTTTGATCATTTTATCTGATTGATAACTGTTTTATTGTAATTTATGTATGTTTTTATACTGGTCTAGCACTGTAAGCCACCCAGAGAAACAAATGGATAGAAATAAATAAATAATTTTAAACTACAGTATCCACTTCCATGAGATGTAGTGATGGAAGGCCGCCAATTTTAAGGGCTATAACAGGAGATCAGAGGACAAGGCCATCGGTGGTTCTGCTCTGGGCTGGCTATATCCTACCTCCTGTTTCAGAGGCAGTATTGCTATGCGCAGAACTTGCTGGGGAAAATGGCCAGGAGAGGGCTGCTGCACTCAACTCCTGCTTGCTGCATTTCCCTTGGCAGCTGGACTCCTGGTCTGATCCAGCAGAGCTCTTCTTATGTTCTTATTATCTTTTTCAATTGCTTGCTTTTTCAAAGAGAAAAGCCATTACTAATGAAAACCTTAGGCTTTAATTAAAGGCTTAATTAAAACATCAGTTCAAGCTATGGATAAAAGCAAACTCAACTATGGTTTAGCATGTCTGAATTGACCAACTATGCTGTGCAACCACATGGCGAAACAGAAACCATGTTCTGATATGGGTTTATGTACTGTGGTTTAATTCAGTCAGCACGCCCCACTGAGGGGTAGGTCTCTATTAACATTACTAATTTGCAATGAAATGCACTGAAGCTGAAAACCAACCAAAGAAAGTTTAGAATATAAATACCTGATAATCTGAGGTCATAATAAGTCCACCTGAGGTAGTGGTAGGAGGAACAACTCTCACTTTTTTCAAGGGAGGCCCTTGTGTATGACTGTTGTCTTGGTTCCCTGGATGACCAGTTCCGTTTGTATGGTTATTGCCCTGCTGCTGCTGCTGGTTCTTCTCAATTGGTTGAAGAAAAAATGTAAGATATAACTTAGAAGCAGTTCACAGGAAGGGAACATGGCACTGTGTATAAGACTACATGAGAAATTAAGAAATCACTAAATATGTAAATAAGCACTCTTATTATTTTCATAGTAAATACAAAGGCATATCATAATCAAATGTATCCATATTATACAACCCTGCCAAAATATTTAATCATACATGTGCCTGTTTTATTTATACAGACTGTATTTTCAAGTATGCATTTTAGAATTACAGCTTTTGGCAAAAGCAGGAGGAGGAATGAGAAAAGGGGTAGGCAGCCTCTTTGGTCCAGAGGGCTGCATGCAGTATTGTGTCTATTTCAGTCCACAGTGAGCAGGCAGTTTGAATGTGCCCTTCCAAGCACCAAGATCAGGAGCTGGGATTGCTGAGGGAGGTGCAGAGGATGGTAGGGCGTTTAAAGCTTCCCACCTACAATTACGATCCAGATCACTGTTCTCTTGGCACTGCTAGCAGAGGGAACCATCAACTGCTGCATCAGCATTTCTGAGATAAGGCCAATGATGTAGCATCAATAGAAATAGTTGTCTTTTCCTGCAGTCCAGCTGATGGTTGATCAGCTGGGCTGTGGGAAACTCTGGGTCTCTGGTAAGAAATGTGGTTGCTCACCTGTGAATTTAGACAGTCAGTATTAAAACAGCTTCCACTTCATCTTAAGTAATCTGAAGTCAGTCTATTCTCCTGGCTTGCATAAAATGCACAGATATTTTAGCAATGCCCCCAGTCTTGTACACTCATCTACTGCTGGGATGTTTGTGGAAGCTTTAGGGAAAGCAATGAACAAGTCTGCTAGTAATTTATGTTTGTCTTATTGTGAGTGGCCAAACATAAAACTAGAAGCCAAGATGGTTTGTCATCATAGGTGGCCTGTCATGTCATGTGAACACAGGTCATAAAAACAAGCCACACTGAGAACTGACAGGATGTTCTAGGATTGTTGCTCTCCATAGTACACTGGCATCTCATTTGAATAAAATAACTCACTGTGGGTGAGCCCCAACAGCCAGTGAGTTACTTGTCAAGGGTGGCAAAAATCACTTGCTACTGCTAACAAATGAGTCCTTTTGCAAGTACCACTTGGGGGTGGCTGGCAGGATTCCCCGCTGGTGGCTTGAAAAGTCTTCTCTGTAACAGCTGGCAAGGATGGCAGGGCTTTGCTCCTCCCTGCCAAGGCAGCATGCTCTGCTTAGGCAAAGGAGAGTGGACACCTTCACCTTGAAGAGGAAGTTTCTCAAGCCATATGAAGGAGTCCATTCTGTGCCACTGCCCTCTACTCAGATTCCCACCACCATGGACCAGACCAAGCACCCTTGCTTGTTGTGGAGAGCAGACCACTTGAGCAGGAGGCTGGCATGACATTTCCACCCTGCTCTTCTGCCAAAGCACATGGCAGCAGTGTGGTGGAAAGATGAGGGAAGCCTTCCTCATCCTCCACATTGTACTTCAGGTCTCAAGTCCTGTTTGCACAATGGGGACAAAGAAGAATATATAAACTTTTTATTTGTCCTTGTACCTATCATGCAAACAAGGCTAGTGTCTGGAAGTGCGATGAGGTTAACTTCTAGTCTCAGTTGGAACAATGTTTGGGGAATAGCCAAGATACTTCAGGCCACAAATGCATTTGTACAGGAGAAAACTGACAGTCCCAATGAGCCAATATCAGCTTGCTGTTGTTGCTGTCAGAGAGAGGAGACTTTGTTCTCCTCCTAGGGTTCCTCCACCTGGAGGAACAGGGAGACAGAATGGGGGGGGGGGGCGGAATTGGGGGGGGCGGGCCGGGGGGGGGGGGGAGAGGTACCCATGAAAAGCCTGATCATCTTTGGGCTCCTTGTGGGTACTTCACAAAGCAACAAATCCAGTGTGGTTTATTGCCAATATGGGTTGTTGGTTTCCAAATATCCTTGTTACAGTATCAGACAACAAAAGTCACTTTCACTGTGTAATTCAAGTTGAGACCACAAAATTCACAGTATTCACAGAAAATTTGCTGTTCATCTCCAAGTTTCACTCCACTTTTGTCTTTTGATATTGCAGTTCTAAGCTTTGCATATTTTCATTTATAGAGCCTTAAACATTGCACTCATGCTAATACATTTTTTGCAGAATTGCGAAGTTATTTCAGTATTTCATAGTATATTCAAATTGGGCGGCAGGAAAATACCCAACTGTTTTCATAAGTCTCCCAGTCATGTGAGATATCAGATCTTTTGATTATGCATCCTATTCCTTTTTAATATTTTGCTGCATTAATTTTATAAACTGAAATTCTGCAAAAAGTGTTCCATGTTTGATGTGCATATTAATCAATCAATCTTTATTCTATTCCCATTAGTAATAATTTTTTAATGCTATCACTTTCTTATCCTAGCAGGAAATGCTTTAACAAAAATAGTGGCAGCAATCAGGGACATACATGTAAAAGTATGAAAGAGCATCCTGGTCATGTGTTCTTGATAAATCAATGCTTTTAAGCAGAACTATTAATCCAATCATAAATATAATTGCCCCAATACATAGGCAATTATAGAACTGTACAAGATGATTTACAAAATTGACTTCCTACATATACTTCTCTCACAAAGGCCAGTAATTCAACACCTACTTTGTCTCCTTTGTCATCAGGCTCTTCTTCAGTTAAAAATTCACGTTTTGGGTATGGGATCTGACAACCTGCAAATACACTGCAAAAATTCCAAATGGTTTTTAATGTATCAAAGAAGAGATTTATTTAAAAGTCCTTTCAGAATTACAAGGTGTCTTCCCTATGATGTATTTTAATCTTAATTAGCCATACAGCCTATGCTTCATCATGATAATTCAATGGCTTTACACTGTTCCAAGTTGTGCTCTGCTTGAGAAAACTCTTGGTACTTGAGACTTCAGGCAGTGAGTCTGTTTCTCAAAGGCACAATCCTATGCATGTTAGCCAAAAATAAATCATACAGATCCCAGCATACCTGAATCTGCAGGATTTTTTTTTCTGCCTAAACATATATAGGATCATGCCTTAAGAGTTCTCTGCAGTCACTCCTTTTGGAAGACTATTACTTTCTTTCATACAAAGATAACTTCTTTACAGTGGGAACAGCAGGCACTAGCAATGAAACCTTAGTTGTGGCCCCTAATCTTCAGAACTACCTCCAAGGAGTCTTGGTTTTAAAAAAAAAGTTTGCTTCTAACTGATATGTTATATTGGACATGCTACTCTTTTATTGCTGTTATTTTTAGATCTTTTTTCTTTTTGCACTGGCTGAATTATAACTGGATTTTTTCCTTTGCTTGTATTATAATATTTTGGATACAATGTGATATTCTTGTGATTGTTATTCTGTTCTGGATGGATGTTGTCCAGAAAGGTAACTTATAAATATTTTAAACAATAAAACATACACTGTTTATAATAAAAAATAATAATTTATTGTATTTGCAGTCTGAGCATTGCCTTAGCATTTGTGTCTTGCACAGACCCGAGCATCCGTAACTAAGGAACGAATGGCATGTAGCCATTACTAGCTGCTTTCTAGAGACCTGAAAGGCATCTCAAACGTATCTTTTTCTGCTAGGACAAGCCTTGGTTTCCTTGTCCCATTTTTACACAGGATTAGACACACTGCTCTAAGAAAGTCTTCTCTTTCTGCTGTATATTGAAGGCTTCAAACTTTCCATTTGATGCATCACTTTCCACCAAACTAGTTTCCAAGTATTACTATATTAGTATTTCTATAAAAGTGTACCTAAATTCTCAATCCCTTAAATCCCTGACATTTTGCCAAGAAGCCAAAGAAAGGGCTTGACGTCTAACATAAGGTCAACTGCTATGAATCTCGTGTAACTAAGCAACCTGTAAAGCTGACTGGAGATCATTAAATACATAAATACTAGCTAACCAGTAATTATGACAGTGCCCAGATTTTAATTCTTAATTCGGAATATTTATTGCTAGAGACATATCCCAAATGATCAAGCTAAACTTGATCAGGCTGATGAATGACATGTTACTGGATGCATCTGTAAAGTAGAGTTTGTTGGATAAGGTCATACATTTAACATGAATATTATGTCTCAGGCTGTTTATGTTATATGTGTGATTCCTTTACCTATAACTAGCAAATAGTTTCAAAACTTAATGCTATATTTGTAAATTTGAGGGAAGACATTCTGCTCTCCCACAAATATCTTTGAAAAGGACCCAACTTCCAATGTAAGATGGTGGGTTTTGTCCAAAATACCAAGCTTTGGACTTTTCCACCTTGGCTATTATTTTTCACTTCATGGAAGTTTCACTTCACTGAACTTCATAGCAGTTTTATAATTGTTTTGTTGGCGTCCTCTCTCCAAATGGATGACATTAAGGTCTTGGCTCTCTAGGTGGCTAACATTAAAATATATTACAATTAATTAATTAAACATTACAAGTATATAAGGGTAGGGGGTATATCTGCTGGAGCAGAGTGAGCTCTTCTAATTAGAGTGAACTCTTAAAACCAACTCTTATAACCAGATATAGTCAGGTTTCTGTGAAATATTTGTGAAAGAGGACAATATCCACCTGGTACCAAAATAAAATAGTGAAAGCACCAAGAGGACCTCTTTAGAAGTCTATTCCAAAGGTGGAGGGCAGCCACTGAGAAGCCCCTTCTTCTAACTGCCATCCCTTCCTTTAGAGATGGCTCTTTCAGAAGGATCACATTCTCAGATCTTAAAAATGGGCGGGTAGGAATATATTGGAAAAGGCAGTCCTTCAAGTAACCAGGTCCCAAGTTGTTTAGGGCTTGTTTATAACAAGCACTTCCAATTGGGCCTGAGACAATTTAAATTACTATTTTTTGAATAGCCTGCATCATTAGAAAAGGTGAGATAGCTAGTCCTCCATGCTCTGTGAGCTCCTTGCTGCTATTCACAATTATTTAGTGGCAACAAAATTGTGCAGAATATCTAATTATGTATTTGGGCAAAGATTGTGCAGACTTCCCTGTCATCTTGCATAATTCTGCCAATGATATGGTTAATAATCCTGAGGGCAGTTTAGGCAAGTCCAAACAAGCCATATGTTCAAAGACTAACAAGTTCACTCAGAATTTGGTCTGGTCCAGTTAATTTCATTTCCAGAAATGACTTTTAATCCAGTCTACACATTGCACATAGTCATACATTAACAGTTAGAACATAAACATCAATGACATGGAAGAAGGGGTGAACAATCAATGACATCAATGACATGGAAGAAGGGGTGAACAGTCTGCTGATCAAATTTGTAGACAATACTAAAACTGGGGCAGTGGCCACAACTGAGGAGCAGGTACTCCAGCTCCAAAAGGATCTGGACAGACTATGGAAGTGGGTAGGAGACAACAGGATGGCGTTCAATGTGGATAAGTGCAAGGTCTTGCACTTGGGGCATAGGAATGGGTGTCATAAGTACAGGTTAGGGGACAAGTGGCTGGAAAGCAGCACTTGTGAAAGGGACCTCGGGGTGCTGGTTGACTGCAGGCTAAACATGAGTCAGCAGTGTGACGCGGTGGTCAAGAGGGCAAATGCCACCCTTGGTTGCATAGCCAGAAGTGTGGCTTCTAGATCGAGAGAGGTATTACTACCACTCTATACGACTCTGGTGCACCCGCAACTGGAGTAGTGTGCTCAGTTTTGGGCCCCTCATTACAGGAAGGATATAGCCAGGTTAGAGTCAGAGCAGCATAGAGCCACAAGGTTGGTGGCTGGTTTGCAGGGGATGCCATATGAAGCAAGACTGAGGGAACTGGGTCTCTTCAGCCTGGAGGAGACTCAGAGGGGATCTGTTGGCAACATACAGGTATGTCAGGGGATGTCACATGGAGGTGGGTAGAGACCTGTTCTCCCCTGCAGAGGAAGGCAGGACGTGCTCCAATGGAGCAAAGTTCAGGGAACCAAGGTTCCATTTAGATGCCAAGAAGCACTTCCTGACAGTTAGGACCCTGAGGGTGTGGAATGGGCTTCCACGGGAGGTGGTTGAGGCCCCATTGGTGAGGGTGTTCAAAGATAGGCTGGACGTCCACATGGTGGGCATGTCGTGAGCAGAGCCGGCTGGAACCAGGGGTCAGATTAGATGGCCCAGGAGGCCCCTTCTCACTCGCGCTGTTACTATGTTCTAAACTGGGTTATGAATAATCTAGCATGCACATATTTTTACCAACTTGCCAGGTAAATGTTCTTTACCTTGAAAGGACTAGTTCTGTCTTTTGGACACTACATTTAACATCTAATTTAGATGTTAACAGTAAGACTGTTTCAAGATAACAACAACAAAAAACGTGTTAACTGCTCTAAATTTAGGGGAAAAATGGAAATAGGATTTTGGTTGTGAAATTTTTGGTTGTGAAGTTTTAAGGCAGTTTTTGCCTTAGTCTAACTACTGAATTTACAGAGAAATGTCAACTAATTAGAAAGTATTATCTGGCTTTTGAACAGGGAAAACTGGACCTTCAGGCAGTTAGCAGCTGACTATGAAGATCTGTGGTGTACATAATCAACCTGTCAGTGAATAACAGGATTAATGGTATGATTAACAGGATCAAAGACTCATAAAACAAGAGATTAATAGGAACATTACTTAGAAATGGGGAAAGGCACAGTAAAACCCTTTCTTACTGCTTGTCAGGAGTGAGAATTTCACTCATTGTTATGCTCAGCTGCCATAATTCCATACCTACCCCTGCATACTGAAAGTGAGAAAGCATTTTAAGCAATTTTCATGAAGGTAATTCACTGATCACTTACTCAGATGTTGGAAGTGGATCTTCTAAGAAATAAGGATCCTGCATAGCCTGTTCTGAGGTAATTCTCTTTATTGGGTCCATAGTAAGCAATTTCTGTAGCTAAACATAATTAAGAACACAAGACACAAGTGCTGTCAAATGAACTAGGAAATACTTTACCACACTGTGAGCACATGAAGCTTCCTTCCTTGCACCCTCAAAATCAAATGAGCTCAGGGTCTCCAGTTCAAGGGCTTTGGAAGACCCTGGGTAAAGTTTTGGAAAGCCATTGCCTGTTATTGAGGATAATACTGAACGAAATATGGACTAGTGACATGGCTCAATTTAGATAAGGCAGCTTCCTAATAAGCTATATCTGCAGAGTAATCAGAAGACTCATGGAAGTGAGTTGCAGAACCTACAGAACTGATTCAAGTGTGCGGTCATAACTTCTAAAGGATACCTATTTAGCTCCATTATACTATATACTGCTGTGAATTCCCATTGTGATTTGTAAAATAATCTTACAAGAGCAATAATACGACTCCTAAATAGCATCAGAGGGGCATAGCATACTCTGGATACCCAGATTTGAGGGGAGACTGCACCCCTCTCTGCATCCTCCCACCCCCCACCAGAGCAGATACAACAGTGCCAGATGCCTCTCTGTGGTCAGGAGCACCACCTCAGAAGGGGAGGAAGTGACAATTTCAAGAATGGGCAGGGAAGAAACCAGAGAGAAAAGGAGACAAACTGCCTGGTGGCCTCTTCAGTCTTTCTCTCCCTCTCTGAAACACCTTTACTAGATGAGAAAATAAATAAATAAAGACTTTCTATTAAAAATGCAGGGCAGGAGGACAGGGAGAGGAAGATAGCCTTTGCTCCTCCTCCCACCCTGCACAGAATTAGCATAAACCTCCAAGTTCAGAAGCTCACAGTCACTATAATAAGTGAAAATCTCTGTGTCTCTCTGATATCCTTCCTGAGTATTCTGGCCATACACCTAGTCTATGAATCAAGAAGGCACAGAGAGGTATCTTTGCATAATCAGGCCAGTGGGAGAACCAGGTAACTCGTGCTGTACTACATAAAATTTTTAGAGTAAGTTCTTGTTATCCCTTCTAAATACAGAATGAGCTAAATTACAATATTTATCTATCTATAAAACACAGCTATATACGGTAGAGGTGACAAACAGATTTAAGGAATTAGATCTGATAGACAGAGGGCCTGAAGAACTATGGATGGAAGTTCGCAACATTGTACAAGAGGTAGCAACTAAAACCATCCCAAAGAAAAAGAAATGAAAGAAAGCAAAATGGCTGTCTGAGGAAGCTTTACAAATAGCTGAGGAAAGAAGGGAAGCAAAAGGCAAGGGAGAAAGAGAAAGACACACCCAATTGAATGCAGAATTCCAGAGAATAGCTAGAAGAGATAAGAA